CCCAGTCCGAGTCTTTTCGAAGATCGATCCACTCCTCCTCTTTATTTGTTACCATTATTTCACGTCCGTTTAAAGCTATCTCTCGTTGTTTAAGCTCCTCTTCTCGGCGTGTTATATCCCTACTAGGATGCATCATCTTTAGTAATTCCATAGTTGTAGGCCTTTTGTTCGGATCAACCATTAACATTGTTCTAATTATATTATTAAGTTCTTCTGAGTATCGTGATGGTAGAGGCGGAACCATACCAGCACTGATTTTTATTGCCAAACTAGGTTGTGATTTTGCTTGAAACGGTGGTTGTAAAGCACAAAGCTCATACAGCAAACATCCAAGGGACCAAATATCAGATTTAGCATCATAATGTGATTCAGTTATCAGTTCAGGCGACATATAATAAGGTGTCTAGAAAATTTTATATATCTGACCAGCGATTAGTTCATATAATTAATTCTTTTAACATAGAAGAATTCGTAAATACTTACACCAACATACGTCTGCGCCAACTCTCGGTCTAAATTCAACTTTCTCGACAGACCAAAATCGCCCAATTTAAGCTTATTATCACTACCCAATAATACTGCGTAATCACCAAGACCACGAAAAAATGAATTCATAAATCATTGATATAAAAATAATAAGAATTTAGATAAAAACACACCATTTTCTGGCTTTATGTCACGATGTAATATCGTAATGTGTTGTTGGCTATGATCAGAATCACATTTACTATTACCATAGCCATAATGACACTCATGAAGTGCCTGCAATATCTGAGTAAAGAAGAACCAGATGGTAACAAATAAAGAGGAGGAATTAAGGCGAAGGTTTGCAGAACTCCAACAATGCAAACAGCAATTGGATTTTGAAAGGCAACAATTTGCCAATGAGGCTAAACTTCATACAGAACAATTTAATATGGAAGTTCAGCGACAAAAGGAGGAGTTCAAAGCTGAATATGCAAATCTTTTGCAGCAAAAAGAGGAATTAAATAACGGCTTTTTAGAGCTTAAGCGACAGAAAGACTTGCAGGCGCAAATCCTTAAAAATCAAGAATCAGAGTTAAAACGCCGCCATGATGACCTTCAGCATCAGATTGATGAATTTAATAAGACGCGAGACACAGCATTGCCTGAACAGCGAACAATAGTTTCTCTTAAGACACAAGTATCGTGTATTAAAGAGCAGCCTTTGATAAGCGAAAACAAATGTGATAAAATTAATGATACGGTTCAAGTTATTGCACAAGTTGAGGCGATTACAAGTAATGAAGTCACTTCACTTCACAATCCATCTGAAGATCGAGAAAATATTGCATCAAGTTCAAATTGTGGGATGGTTGTGAAAGCACCTATCTTGCAGCAGGAATTACCGAAGACCAGGCTAAGAAAACTAATATATCCTCCATTAGAAGCACGACCTAGGAATATTACATCGATATCAAGTATAATTCCTCAAAAACGATTACAGCAGAGTTCGCAAGGATCCAATGTATGGGATGTGGACGATGATGATTTGCCATCGCCATTTATAAAGCAAAGAAAGAAAATAGGAGTGGATCGATCTTCGAAAAGACTCGGACTGGACGGTAACGAACCAAGGATCGAATGATTTTTGGACCTCAGTTCGTAATCGTCCGGTTAGGGATGGTAAAGTTAATTTAGGTCTGGTTTAAGTTTTAAAACCTTTAGATTCCAAATTAAAAACCCCAAGAACCAGGTTTTTATGTAAGTTTTAAACCTAAGTTAAGCTGGTTGGTTTAGAACCAAAATTTAAACCCCTGGTTTTTCAATATTTTGTAAGATATAAAATAACAATATATTAATAAACTTTTTTGAATATATATACGTATTGATTTTTTGAATAAATTAATATACTAATATTGATTTACTATATTTTAATAAAACTTTGACTTTAGGCCATGCAAAATTAATTAATTGGTTTTCATAGCCTAGCTGGGTCAAATTTTGAAAACTTTAATCCATTTTTTTTTATATGTTTAAATAGCTGGGTGGGTTTTAAAAAAACATCTATAAAATTTTTATATAAAATGTTTATATATAAAATTTAAAAAAAAAGCTGACTGACCGGGTTTATTTAAAAGCTTTACATTATGAAAACCAAAATATTAAATTTGCATAGCTTTATATGTACCGTATAGCACTAACTGTAGTATCTTTGCTATAATATCCTTATAAAAAAGACCCGGTACTATTTATGGGTTTATGATTCAGAAATTGAAAAAGACTATACATATATATATATTTAGATTTGAGATTTTTATAAAATAATATTGTAAAGTACTTTTTTATTATAATACTTTTAATATAATTAGTACTTAGAAGGGTATTATAGTTTACTTTGTCAAAACCAATAACCTCTTATTAATAAAAAATAGCTTGTTTTATAATCTAAATTTGATAATTTGTTTTATTTTTTGGTAAATTTGTTTTTAATTTATTTTGACAATAGAATCTATATATTAGTAATATATTTTTTTTTACATGTTTATGATGTATGAGAAAACTTTTTTGGTCTTTTATTATATATTTTATTGTTAGATGAATTCTTTTATTAATTTTTAATACTAAAGTATATTTAAAAGAAATTTATCTAACCTGATATTTTTAATTATTTTACTTCTAGAATTACTATATAATTATCAAAGTAATCTTGTTAAATTAAGAAAATATCTTTTAAACCATTAATTTTAGCAAGCAAGTTTGGCTGCTAAAATTTTAAAACTTTAGTGTCTAATCTAATTTTGTCAAAATTTAATATATTTAAAAAAAATTATAAAATAATATTTAAAAATAAAAATTATAAAATAGTAATATTTATTTTTTATCAGCAAAATATATAAATGTAATCTTACAAAAGTTATTTTGCTCTAAAAAATTCTGCAATAATTATGATTAATGTAGAATATTTCAAAATTTTTAATTATAAATATTATAAAATATATTACAAAATATTACAAAATTTGTTATGAAATATTTTGATGAGATTCGAACTAATTCGAATTTATTCAAAATGTACAAAATTTGCTACTTGACTAGATATTATTAAAAAAACTTTTATAATATAAATGAAATAGTAAATTGATAATTTAAAAATGCAAATATATTTGAATTTATCAAAAATATTTTAAATAATTCTTATTTCTTTTTTATTTAAAATTAATTAAATATCCAAAAATGTAATATATTTGTATAGTATATTTTTTTGATTTATTTTGTTTTTTTCAATTTTTTTTAATTTATACTAAAATTAATAATCAAAAAACAATTTATTCAAATAAATAAATACTATAAATTTTATGATTACTTGTACTAATCTAATACTAAAAGCAAGTTGAAGATTTAAGCTTAGAAGTTGACAACAACTTGAAGTTTCTTTAATACAAACTGTTGTTAACAAAGTTTTTAAACATAATATATCAAGGAGTAGGTGTTTTAGATGGTTTGCAAAGTGATCAAATCTTTTTTTTCTTGTCTTCTTAAAAAGACTCTTTTTTGCATTTGTTATCTAAACTAAAAGAGTCTCTAAGAACAACAAGTAAAAAAGAAAACTAAAGTTTGTTTGAAGATAGAAGACTTTAAAGAACTCTTGGAACAATAGAATATTCTATAGAATAAATGAGCAAACTTCGCCAACTCTACAACTCCGATATTAAAAAATTAATAATTACTAATCATTAGTGAAGCTTATTTTTTATATTGCTTACCTATTCTATAGAACATCTGAACAATATTCTTTGGCTAAAAACTTGTAAAAACTCAATACTTCCTTGCTGTTTTTTGGTTTCAAAATTTTTGACAAAAGTAAAAAATTTGGCTACTCACACCAAAAGATCAGCATTGTTTATCATTTTCATATTGAGAAACTAGATAATGACAAATCAGCACATATTACAAATGAATAAAATAATAACAACAAGTCACATGAAGTTTTAAAATCTTTATACTTTCAAATAAAGATATGGATTTAATGGAAAAAGTTAAGCAAAGTGTTTTGAGATATATAACATTCTTTTGTATATAATTTTTAGTCTTTGGCATGAGTTATAGTGCATCTTGTTATAAGTTTTTATCAAGACTCTTGCACTTAATAGTAGATTATTATTCCGTATAATTAGAAGTTTTGTTTTTATCTGATTAGCTGGTTTTCTTCTTTTTAGCAATAGGTTTTAGTTTAGTTTTTTTATATTCTTTAGTATTAGTATTGTTACAAAGTAGATTTTTAGTATAGATTTTATTAAACATTATTTAGTTATTTTTAGTTATTATTATTCAAAA